CTGCAGCCCAGGGAGGGCGGGGCTTGGGGATGGGGTGACTGTGGAGGGGCAGACCCAGGAGAAGGGACCCAGGGTTCCCTCAGCCACTGGCACAAACTGGGTTTCTTTTCTGATGCAGAGATGCTGTTAGGAGCGCCTGATAGTGTGACTTTCTGGGCGCTGCCCCTTTTTGGCCTCCTCTCTATCTCCAGCTGCTAGTCCTGACCCCCAGGAGCTTCAGTCCTGCAGCAAATTCAAACACCTGCTGAGAGGCGCTGACTGGGAGGCCACAGTCAGCACCTTTCTGATTTGGAGAAAACCCAACACTTCATGCTCCATGCAGAGGCCCCTTCTCCTGGTGCTGATTGTGGGCGTCTCTGCACTTGAACTTCTCTGTACTTGAAGGACACTTTTCAAAGGCGAGGTCTTTTTCCACCTTTACCTCTACTGTGAAAATGAGACCCATCCCTGCACCGTCACCTTCCTCTGACAAATGATGTGTCTGGGGCCTCCTTGGTGCCGCAAGGGGTTAAGCCCATTACTATGAGGCTGTCTGTAGCCTCTGCAGCACCAGTATGGCCTCTGCAGCCAGGGAGCTACCCACATGGTGCAGCAGACCTCTCCTGTCTCCCCGCTGCTCCCCTCAGCAGTGTGTTTCAGTAGATCTGCCTGTTCTGCTCCCCACTCTGTCTCGGGTGAATCATCTCACACACACACCGCCCACCTCTGGCCTGCACCTCAGCTCTTGTATGCATAAATAAATACATCTTATAAAAAAAGAAACTCCTGCTGATTGCTGAGAAAACGCCCTGCAGGAAATGTCAAGTGCCATGAGTCATGTCCCCCAGTGTGTCTGGGTCCTGAACACTTGAAGCCCCGCACTGCCCACTTCCTTGTGTTCCAGTGTTAGTAACCCCCCAACTAATGCTGTAGGGACAGTCAGGACAGTCAGAACTATGTGGCAACTATACCCAAGGCATTCCCGCAGGGCAGCTGTAACGGCAGGAAGCGTACAGTGCAGGATCTCTATGACCCGAGCAGGCGGGGTGAAGAGGAGAGAGAGTAGAGGGGCTTTATTGGCAGGAAGGCAGGTGGTAGATTCAAATCTGCCTCCCTGATTAAGAATAGGGATGAGGTCATACAGGCTTTGGGGACTGGAGTTGAGAACAAATGAGAACAAAAAAGTTAAATTTTATTGGCCAAGGAGTGATTGAGTTCGGGGCAAAGAAATGTGGACTTGGCTGAAGCTTGTGGGCTAGTGTAGGGGCAGGAAGGGCACAGCGCAGGTTTTCTGATCCAGCAGACCAGGGTAAGGGAGGAGTCGGAGTCCTGGGGCCCTCAGTGGCTTTTCAGGCTTTTATTGGGATTTACCAGGTGCACAGCAGGCAGGGGTGCTGGGAGGCCGGGAGGTTGACAGGCCTCCCAGGCCCCAGGAAGTCTTCACTCTTTCTGGGCTCTCCGGCCTTCTCTCTGCTTCTCTGCTCTCAGCTTCTGCTGGCGTCCCCGTGATGCTGCCCTTAAAAGCCCAGCCTCAGCCCAGGTGAATCCCATCTACCTAGGCCCACACCCTACTCCAGAGGCCCACCATCAGGCATGCCTTTGGGACCGCAGGGATCCATCATCCATCCTGATGGCGGGAGGGCAGAAAAGCCTGCTATGTCACCTTACCCTCCAGCAGCCTTCCTACCCATTCTGGTGGGCTTAGGCATGGGCTTGGGGCTCAGGCATGGCTTCCTCTGTTGCATCAGTCTCTTTTGCAGGTGGGCACTTAGCCAGTCTCGTGTTTCTGCTCAGGAACTCACGAATAAACTCCAGGCTATAGAACGGTCATCACCATCTCTAGCCTCACTCCAGAGACAACTAACCTTGCTCGCACAGGTCTCTCCTCAGAACAGAAGGGCTCTGGATCTTCTGACAGCCGAAAAAGCGTTGTCCCTCAAAAAACAATGTTGCTATTACATCAGCAAATCAGGTTTGGTGGAATTGTAAGGTCGGTGCAGGGGGCCTGGTGAGGGCCTTGAAACTGCAGAGGAAATTCCACCTTTGCCTCAGCTCCTGGAACCAGAGGCCGCCACCCCACACAAACAGGATCTGATAACCATCAATCAGAAACCACCCAAAAAAACCCCCCAAAACAACAACTTCGGTTCCACTTACCCAGTTTCCTGCCTAACCTTTTGTAGGGTAAGGTAAAGGTATGATGAGGCTTTTCTGCCCTCCCGCTGTTAGGGTAGCTGAGGGAACCCTGCAGCCCTGAAAGCGAGCCTGATGGCGGGCACCTGGAGTGGGGTGTGGCCATGCGTAGGTGGGTACACCTGGGCTGAGACTGGGTTTATAAGGGTGGCGCAGCAGCGTGCAGTGTGGCTGTGTGGTGTCGGGGATGGAGTGCAGTGGGGTGCAGGGAGGAGTGTGGCGAGTGACAGAGCGCAACAGAGCACGGCACTACAGAAGCGGGGAGCATGAAGACCACAGGCCTGCTAGAACCGTTAATGAACCTACCTGCGATGGGTTGGTTGCGTCACACCTCTCCTCACCCTATAAACGGACATCTCCCCCCATAACGGGGAGACTTCTCTTTCCTAGGGCTGGGGCTGGGTTGGGCAGGAAGCTGAGCATGAAGAGCAGAGTTTTTTTTTTTTCTTCCCCCAAACTGGCTGTGGGGGTGGGCGAACCTCGCCCAGGCAGCGCAATAAAGGTCCTGCCTGTCAGAAGCTTGGCCTGGCCTCCTCTTCACCCGGCCAATCCTTTCAGGAATAGAGTGTAAAAAACTCTCAAAACTGGCCAAAGACACGGAGTGCCAGGTGAAAGGCGACAGCTCCCCACTGGCCTGGCTGAGTAGCCCTCTGGCTGCAGGGGTGCTCCCGCTCGTGGGACTAGTTTTAATGTTGTTATTTTTCCTCCTTGCCCTTGCAGCTCCGGTTCAACACCACGTTCCAGAGAGAACCTGCGCTACCTTCACTCAACTTGTGCTGCACTGCTACTCGCGCCTCCCCACCAGGAACCTGGCAATGGGCCCGACTTCTTGAGCTCCCCTCCCCCATAGCACCCCACATCAGGAAGTAACTAAGAGGTCCAGGTGTAAGGTCAAGGCCAGCGCAGGGAGGGTCAGGAGAGGGGAACTTGAACTGCTGCCCTCCACAGTCCAGGCGCTGCCTCTGCCTGGTTTGCACCGGTTTGATCAAAAACCTGGTCTGGGAAGCCTCCCTGAAAACAGCCAGTTTGGGGGAAGAAAAAAAAAAACTCTGCTCTGCATGCTCAGCTTCCTGCCCAACCCAGCCCCAGCCCTAGGAAAGCTCCGCCCCATCCCCCAAAGGATGCGAGTTCTCCAAGCCCCAGGTGGCTTGCTCAGGGGTGCAATAAAGCTCCTGCCTGGCAGGGACTGGGCCTGGCTCTGCTCTTCGTGGCGCCAATCCTTTCCACTAGAAAGCTGCGAATAAGATTGTTTAGGGCTCTTGTTTTCCTTTTTCACAAGGTTTCCCCACCCCTCGGAGAGTGCAGGCGCCTGGGCTCACCGGAGGGCAGTGGAGGCGGGACAGGGAAGGCCCAGGAGGCCTCGGTCACCTGAGATCAGGGAAGAGGCTGACCCTGAAGGGCGCCAGCGGGGCTGCGAGACGGGGCGGAGCGAAGCGCGGCAGAGCAGGCGCCGCCCCAGCTCGCGCCGTCCAGGGGGACAAGTCGGGGCTGCGGGGAAATTCCAGCCAACACAGAGGCCGGTTCCCCCCAGAAATAGGACGTGTGCATCCCCCTAGGACTTGGACCCTGGGCTGTGGTGAAGCGCTCGCTGCTGTGACAGCAGTTTGGCTTCCGGACGGCTCCCCGCCCCCCTTCCGCCCCCTCTTCCGCCGGCTGTGGCACCCCAAACTCCCGGGTGCGCGGGAACCCCTGACCGCCCTGCTCGGGCCGCTCCCCGCGAGGGGACAGGCGCCCCCGGCTAACAGGGGCTTTTTCTAAACCTGACGCAGACTCGGGGCGCGTCCAGGGGAGACTCTGCACCGGGACAAACACATAAAACGTGAATAAACACAACAGGCTTTTTTCTTTAGGGCGCTCCCGAGGCCGGGGCGGGGCCGGGGGCGGGTCTCCCCTGCAGACTCGCGTGGGGGTCCGGGGGCCGCTGTGTGGGGTGCGGGGGGCTCCGGGCTCCGGGGAGACCCTCAGAGTCTGGGGGAGGCCGAGGGGAGCAGGGGGGCCGTTTTGAGCCAACCTCCCCTTCCCGCGGTCCGGGCCTCTCCCCGCCGCAGCGCGGTGCCCCCCCTTCCTCACCGGCCACCCGTGTGGGGGCGTCTCAGGTCAGCTGCGCCCCCGGCGGCGATTTGCGGGGTGCGGGCGGCCCTGGCGGGGGCGGCCCCAGCAACCGAGCGAGACTTGCGCTCGGCGGGCCCTTCCGGGGCGGCCGGAGGACCCAGAGCCCAGACGCCCGGCAGGGGGGACCGGCGCTCACTCTCGGGGTGCAGAGGGGCCTGGGGGTGGGGGGCACGGCGACTCCTCCTCCGGGGGTGTCCCGTCCCGCCCCCGCCACGGGCCGGGAGATGACCCCACGCCGGGAGGAGGGGTCTTGGGGGGGCCGAGGGGGACGGCGCGGCCCCGCGGGAGCACGCGGGGTTCCCCGAGCCGAGGACCCCGGACGGCAGGGCCGAGGGGACCCGCGTCTCCCCGCCCCGCCCGCTCGGAGGCCGCGGCCCGGCCCGACGGGGACTCGCGGGTCGGGGGTTCGCGGGGCGCGTCCGTCCCCGCAGGTCCCGCCGGGTCCGGGGTCGTCAGCCCGTGTCGGGAACCCCCCGCCCCCCGCCCCCCGCCCAGCCCGGCCCCGCGTCTCCCCTCCCGCCCCCCAAGAACTCCGGGTGTCAGTTCCTGTCACCTACATCCCCTCATTTCAAGGCTGAAAAATTCCTTTTTTGGCCAAGGTGGTGACGGGGCGGGTCTGGGCCGGGTCCCCGGGGCGATTGGCTGCGGGGAGGCCCGCCCGTCCGGCGCGGTTTTTTTAAATTTAAATTCAAATTCATATTCATTCCCCACGCCTGAGCCGCTCCTGAGAGGCGTCTCTGTCAACTCCTCGGGTCCCTGCGCCTCTGTCCCAGCAGGAGAGACTGGGGGGTGAGCACCCCGCTCCCCCTGAGCTCTGAACCCCCGGGGGGACGGGACCGGCTCTGTCTGTAAGTCCAGGATGTGCTGTAGGGGCTGCCAGAGGGAAGCAAGTTTCTGCTTTGGGGGTACCTGGGGCGGGAGAGGCTGAGGGAATTCTCCTCACTTATGGGGTCTAGACCCCATAAGTGTGATTTTCCATTTCAGCGCCACCGGCACAATACAATACAGGATCTCAGACAAGTCCGCAGTCAGTGTGGGAACCCCCAGGAGCACCATGCAGGAGCCCTGGATCATCTCTCTGATCACCCTCCTCGCCTACACCATCCTGTTTGTCATCATCATCTACTTTATAACACGGAAGGTACCATGTGCAGGATGAGGGGATGTGAGGGGTCCGGGTGTGAGGGGGCCCGGGATCCCCAGGCAGGCCCTCCCCTCCCTGCCCCTGCTCCTGGGGGAAGGAGAGCAGGCGGGGAGGGCGCGTGTCCCTGGAGCAGGGACTGGGGTGAGCTGGGCCCTGAGAGCTGAGCCCCCTCCTGTAAGCCCGCGGTGGGGAGGGGCCACGGGCTCAGGGCCTGTGGGTGTCTGAGGGTGTAGCGGGTCCCTCCTGCCTCGGGGCAGATGTCTGCTGGGGTGGGGCCCCTGGGGGGTGGAGGGGGCAGCAGGCACAGGTCCTGGTTGTCCGAGGCTTTGCAGGGGTCACCGAGCAGTGGCATGGGGTCCCTACATGATGTGTCAAGGGGAGGGAAGCTCCATTCGGGGGCTCAGAATAGAGAGACTGGTCCAATCCCTGGACAAGGGGTGAGGAGACCTCACAGACAGACTCACTAGTCTGTATTCCAGCCTCAGCCCCACAAATAGCAGCTTGGATGGTGCAGCACAGGCCTGGCATGAGGTTAGAGGGGCAGCCAGAGAACCGGGAGGCCTGGACAGCCACTTAGCAGCCCCAGGGATCCTGGCTCAGCCCTGTGCTATCACCTGGCAGCCAGCCTTCCGCAGACCCCAGGCCCCCAAGAAGCTACCCCTGTCTTGAGCAGAAGGTACAAGGGGAGGTTTTGATGTTTTGGGGAGACACAGCTGGGCTGGATGGGGTTGAAAGGGACCCTCAGAGCCTGTGTGCACCCCCAGTGTGAGGAGAGGCTGCGACCCAGGGAAGAGGCTCTTAGCCCGCAGCCTCCCAGGCCTGAGGGAGCAGCCGCCAGGCCGCCCTCTCAGGGGCTCCCAGTCTGACCTCAGCAGCAGGCACAGGCAGTTCCCTGAGCCTGGAGTCCTGACCCCCCTCAGCCTGGGCTGGCTCTGCTGTGGGGAAGGAGGGAGGAGGCTCCACAGGCTGCAGCCCAGGGAGGGCGGGGCTTGGGGATGGGGTGACTGTGGAGGGGCAGACCCAGGAGAAGGGACCCAGGGTTCCCTCAGCCACTGGCACAAACTGGGGTTTCTTTTCTCATGCAGGTAGGCAGATTGCGGTACCCGGAATGGAGGATTAATTTTTGTTGGGTTTCTCCATGAGAGACCCTCCATCTCTAGATGCTGGTCAGCCGGGACCAGCCTCCAGCAAAATGTCGAGTCAGAGGTT